GGGTGGGGAGACCCATGGGCCCCTGGGTGCGTGAGATTCCTTTCCTTTGATGGTGGGGAAAGCAGGGCTGGCCGGTGGTGGCCCTCTAGAGCAGATCTGTGCTTCCCCATGGTTCTCTGGTTGGGGTCCTGAGCTGCCTGGGAGTGTCAGGGATATTGATAAGGAGAAGGCATAATGACAGGGGTGAGAGGTCCTGAGACCTGGGTCCCAGGGAGGCAGGGGGCAGGGAGGCGGCGGTCAGGGGCTCACTGTGGCCTCGGAGGATGCCCAGGCCTGGGTGGCTCATTCCTTGCTGGACTCACATCAAGACCGGCAGAGAAGGGGTGGCGTCCTCGCTGGGATCTGGGGATACAGGGGTCACAGAGGCAGCACCAGGCACTGAGCACTTTTCGTGACCCGATTCATTTGTTTCCAGTCACTCTGTAAGGGAGTGATGGCTGCTGTCCCTCTTGACAGAGGAGTCCGGGACATGGGGAGTGGGTAGTGAAGGTTCCCTGAGAGGCAGTGTCTGTGCAGAGCATGAGCCATGCCAGGAGGTGGGGAGGGGGCTTGTGGGGGTGGGCTGGGAGGCGAGGTGGGTACAGCCCTGTGGAGGCCTTGGCTGCGTCGATGGCTGGGGACAGTAGGGCGATTGGAGGCCTGACGGCCCTGGGACCTGACCTGCCAGCCTTGGCAGTATCTCTGCTGTGAGCCAGGCAGCCTTTCCCTGTTTGTGACAGCCTGGGAAACTGAGGCATAGGTTGGCATGGCGTCTCTTTGAAGAAACAAGTTGCTTAGCTCCAGGAAGGAAGTGATCCTCGACTCAGTAGAGATGCCGGCACGTGGGCACCCCAAACCTCTTCCTGGAAACCCACGATATTGTCATTACCTGGCCCACCTGCCCAGGGAGTCTGGGAGGTGGCTTGGCAGGCCAAGGGGTGGAGGGGCGGCTGGGCAGGCCCACCTGTGAGGGCGGGAGAAGGTGAGCAGGCTGCGTGCTGTTTCTGTCCATTTCTTTTCCAAATCTCCCACGCTTAGCCCAGCACCTGGGCCTTGAAGGTGCTCAGTATGTATTTGTCAATTGCGCGAATGAATGAATGGGCAGATGAATGCCTGGCCCCCATTCCTTATTGGTGGGAGTCCTGTGGTCCTGGGTGGGAGTAGGGAGGCTCAGAGGCACTGCCGAGCCTCAGGAGGGTGCAGGGCAGTGCAGAGGGTGGGGTGCCCTTCGGGGATGGGTGGTGGTGGTGGGCTTTGTGCTGGGCTGGTAGTGGCTGCTGGGATGCTTTCCAAGCCACTGACACCCCCATCCCTGCCCCCAGGAAGGGCAGGTGGGGGGCTGGGATGCTGGGGGAGCAACAAGGGTAGGGCGGGGGGAGCTAGGAGGGGGCCTCGCAGTGTTTCACGCCCAGGCAGGGAAGCTGTCCTGACTGCTCTGCCACCAGGTGAGCTTCGAGGGTGGCAGAAGGGGCACCTGGAGGATTTTCGTGACCACATTTGGGAGTCGCACTTCCCCTCACCATGCCTCAGTTTCCTCATCTGAGCTGTTGCCAGAGGCCCTGTCTTCCAGCTGTCAGTGCCCACTGTCCCCTCGTCCCCTGCAGACCCCGCGGAGGCAGGGCTTGCCATACCTTTTACAGGTGGGGAAGCAGGGCTCACAGGGCAGAAGCAGTCATGGGCAGCACTGGGCTTGACCCCAGGCCCTGTGCGTCCAGAGCCCAGCCCTGGCCAACGTGGTGTATGCCGCCCTGTGAGTGGGTCAGAACCCCTCCCTGTGACCGTCCCCTCCTCCTGTCTCCCCTGCCGCTTGTCCTCCCAGGCCCACAGGGGTGAGGCTGGCTGAGCTGAGCCCAGGTGGGGAAGGCTGGGGCTTGGCGCTGGGCTGTGGAGGAAGGGGTCGGAGTCCTGGGATGGGATTGGGCATCGAAGCAGCCCACACACAGGGTGATATTAAGACCTCCTGGGGTCAGATTTCTGCCCATTACCTGGGTGGTTCTCTGGTGCCACTGGAGGTTGGGAGGCTCTGGGCAGGCCTGGGAGGGCCTGAGTGGCCACAGGTTTGGGGGGCTCCTGGTGCCTGGGGGGCGTCGCCTGCTGCCTGCCCAATGCTGGGTGCCTGTGGCCCAGTGGCAGCCTGAGTGGGGCCCTGTGGCCTCGCCAATGCTCTCGCTGGGTGCCTCCCCGTGGCCCCGCCCGCCTGTGGAAGCTGTGGTGGAGCTGTAGCAACCTGGGCACCACTGGTGGTAGGCAGCACTTGAGCGGCTTCAGGAGGAGCAGGGCAGGCCTCCCAGTTGGCAAGTCAGCGCCATGCCTCAGAAGGCACTATTAAAGCCACGTGTGGCCCGGAGGGGCAGTGGCTGAGCGCAGGGGCCTGTCCCCGCAGCCCAGTGGGTAGAACCTGAGCCAGTGCCCAACAGCTCTGCTCCCAGGCTGCAGCCAGGCACCCCATGACTGGCTGGGTGCTGGCACCACCTCGGAAGGTGGCTTTTCTTTCTGGCAGCGTGTCTATTTGTAACGGCAGCCATGGGCCCCAGAGGGCTAGCACTGGCTCAGGGTCACGCAGGGAGTCAGGGTAGGGTGTGAGACTCCAGGCATCAGGAGCGTGCCTGCTTCCCCTCTGGCCAGTTCCTCCAGGAAGCCTTCCCTGACCTCCCGCCCTCCGGATCACCTGCCACCCTGGGCTGCTGCTGCTCAGGGGCGTTCCTCCTGCTGGTCCCCATCCCTGCAGTGAGTGCTCAGGAAGCACCAGAGAAGGGGACTGAGACCGACAGCTTGGGAGGCTGCCTGGGGTGAGGGGCATAAGGGATGCTAAGGAGTAGTGAGCTCCCTTTCACCGGAGGTGTGCAAGCTGGGGCGTGGGTGACCGTCTGAGTTTCCTTTAGACCTCGGGTCGAGATCCCATGATGGGCTCTGCCCATTTCCCAGGTCTGGACCTCTGCCCAGAACATTGGGTCATTTGTTCTTCCACAAACAAGTGGGAGCCCTCTTGGTGCCAGGGCCTGTGCGGGAGGTGGGTGAAACTGACGACCTCTCAGTCCTCCTGCAGTCAGGACGCCTTCCCTGGGGCCCGGGACACTCTGCTCTAAGGACACATAGCAAGGGGAGAGGGGATGGGATGGGGCGGGGGACTCTGGGAAGGTGTCTTAGCGCATCAGGCGTGGGCTTGGCCTGCTTGGCTCTCTCCTCCTGGGCCCCCTAGCAATGGGCAGACTTGGGCTCGCTCTGGTAGGGTTCCAGGAACGGCTCCTGCCTGGATATAAATAGACTTCTCCGAAAGGTCTGGGGCTGTGCCAGCTGCAGCAGGTGCCCCCCAGGCCCGGCCAGAGGGCCCCAGGCGAGGGGGTGGAGCCTGGGTGGGGGTGCTGAGGATGCTGGGGTCCACCTTTGTAGCCACAGAGGCATGACGGGCTCTGTCTGCTTGTAGCACCACAGAGCTTGATGGGAACTTTGACTCAGATCCCTCTCATGGATAAGAAAACAGGCTGGGGTGGCAGGAGCAGTTTACCCCAGAGGCCCTCTCTACCAAAGGGCTAGGGTCGAGATAAGTAGGGTCTCTGGGGATCAGCAAGACCAGCTCCAGCTGTGGTTCCTCTGCCTCCTGGTTGTGTGACTCAAGCGGGTGGCTCAGCTTCTCTGAGCCGACATCGTTTGTCACTGCAGTGTGGCGGGTGTTAGCGCCTTGCTCGTGGAATGCAGCGTCTAGCCTGGTGTCCTTAGAAAGCGGGTGAGGTTGGTTGGTGGGGCAGAGGCCCTGAAGCCGACCCATTCCTGACTTGGACCTTCAGGGAGACACTGCTGGAAGTGGCGAGCTGAGAGCACTGGGTGGAGTCAGAGCCTCGCGTCTTCCTGCGGTGCTGGGTGAACCTACACCAGTGGGTGTCCTTGCCAGGGATCTCATGCCCTCGGGGGCCCATGAGCCGGCAGCCAGGCCTACCTGGCTTGGCGTGCCTGTGGGTGGGGGCTCCTGCAGGGCCCTTCAGACTGGGCACAGCCCTCCTGTCCTCATCTACCCTGCCTGCCTGCCCACCTGGGGGTGGGAGGAGGTGAGGGTTGCAGGCGCAGCTGGGCCAGGCTGCTGGTGATGCTGTCTGGAAGTGTGGGTGGGCAGAGCCTGGTGGGGGCATGCTCTCAGCAGGGCCCTTTGATTACCCCAGATTGCAGGGACCGGGTTGAGAGCTGCAGGCAAGGCCAGGCCTCCAGGGACCCTGAGCTGGGGATGCCATGTGTACTGCTCCACCTTGCTCTGAGGGCCCTGGGTGGCCAGGGCAGGCTGAGTGGACTGTGATGCCGGCTGCACTCTTGGGGCTCACAGTTCCCGGGGAACAGTGCTCCCAGGAGGCAGAGCCAGGAGTCCCAGGGAGGCGTTTGCCTGAGAGTGTCTGGGAGGGCTTCCTGGAAGAGGGGGCATCAGTGTGTAGCCTCGGAGTTTGTGGAGACAGCTCCCTGGCCAAGTCCTGCCTGCCGGTGTGACCTGAGGGTGTTCCTCATTTCAATGCCTCAGTTTCCTCACCAGTATGCTAGGGGAGGTGTAGCCAGTCACAGTGGGATCATGAGGATTGAGGGGACAGTGTCGGGCACACGGTGAGTGCGCAGTAACTACAGAGGAGTGCCTGGGTGGGGGCTGGTGAGCTGGGCAGGGGTCTGAACGGGGCGACTCGGGCGCCCTACTTCTCTGGGTGCAGGCCAGCACCGGCACCAGGGACCGCATGTCCATTATCTACAGCTAGGCGCGCTCCCTCCAGGCGTCCCCCGCAGGAGCTCCCCTGCCCTACGGCCCCTTCAGCCCATAGTTCAGTGAAGCCCCAGGAGTTGGGCGGGGGGAGCCCTGACGTTCTAGGGAGTGCGGCCAGCGGGAGAGGCGCAGCGGGAGGATCAGGGGTCCGGGCCCTGCCCTTGCCGCACCCCACGCTTCCCCTTCCTGGCCGGGCTTCCTCTTCCTTGCGCTCGCCCTGCGCGGCCCCTTTGTTTCCCGGGCAGGGCGCGGCTATATTTAGGCGGCAGGTGTGGGAGCCCCTGGCAGCCAGGTCGCCCGCCGGTCACGCCCCCCACGTGACGCCTGGGCACTATAAATAGCCGCAGGCGGCAGCGGCAGCAGCGGCTGGAGCCGGCTCTGCTGTGGAGGGGCGGCGCCCTGCCCAGGGCCCAGCGCCACGGGCACCCCTCAGCCAGGCGCACATGGAAACGGCGGGATGCCTGCAGCGCGGGTGAGCCTAGTGGGTGGGGACGCTGCCTTCCGGGCCCCCAGCCCCGCGGGGGAGGAGGTGGTGCCCCCCAGAGGGCTGGGCGGGAGCCCCGCTGGTGCCGATGGAGGGGGCTGTGCCCCTTACCAGGACGTCGTCTGTGACCGGTCCCCTGGAACTCCCCAGAGCACCCACCTCAGCCCTGCCTACCTGCAGCCTTACTTCTCCTGCGACCCACTGATCCCCGGGCCTCCAGCCTCTTCCCCAGCATCACAGGGGGGCCCTCTCTGAAGGGCGCTGGATTCACACTGGATTCAAACTTCTTAACCTGCTGTGCCATCTGGAAGGAGCGGGGTAGCCTCCCTGAACCTTGGTTTCCTCTTTTGTGAGGGGCTCCGTGTTGCTCCTGCCTCCTAGCCTGGAGCCAGAGAGAACCCACTTAACTGGACACTTGGTCTGGCCTGGGCCCAGAGAATTGTCCTCTCCTCTCCCTGGCCTCTTTCCTCATCTGGCAAACATGGACCCTCGCTTAAAGGGTCTTGAGAAGATACTGGTTCTGAAAGTAGCCGAAGGCTCTGGGCCTGCCGGTGAGAGGAGACTGAGCCAGATCTTGGGACAGGGGCTGCGGGGCTTGGTGGCAGGAGGGGAGGAGGGGCCGAGGCTGCCTGTGGGCCCTGCGCTGTGGCCTCGGGCTAGGCAGGGGTGGTAGAGACTCATAACACATGGAGGCTGGGGCAGCCTGTCCCCATTTCGCTGAGTGCTGGTCCCTGGGGATCCTTAACCCTTGCTCTCTGGGCCCTCCCCAGTGACCTCAGCGGGGGCATGTGGTTAGGGAAGGGTGCCCTCTCTGGGGAGCAGCCGCTGGGCAGGGCAGAGCCCCGCAGTAGTGCTGGGGGCTCACTGCTTTACTCTCACCTGGGGCAGGGGTGGGGGCCCCAGGCTGCAGAGCCAAGTAGGGTGTGTGGCAAGACCCCAGCGCAGTCCAACCTCTCCCTGGACCCCTGATGCCATTCTCTCCTGGGCTGTGACCCCTGCAGACGCGTGGCATCCTCAGGCCTCAGGTGGGCAGTCGTGTGGGGTGGTTCAGAGCCATCTCCCTGCCCAGCCACCTACAGCCCTGAGGACCTGTCCATGGCCACTGGGCAGTGGGGCCAGGCCATGTGCTGTTGTCTGTGGGGTCTGCCGGGGTGGGTCCCTGGCAGCTGTGGGCATGAGAGCTGAGTGGGCCCCTCGGGAGCGGCCCCCAGTACCGTGGTTTCTTGGACACTTTTCCTCCTCTCTTTCTGTAAACATGAGCTTGTCCCGGCGTGCACGCACAAGGGGACATCCTGCTGCCCCAGGAGGGACCCAGGTGTTTGTGTGCTGTCGGCGCTTGGAGGCTTCCCTCACCTGCACTCAGAGACTGTGCTAGCTGGGCTGGGTGGGGGCTGGCGGGACCAGGGACAGGATCCTTGTCTCCACCCTTACTTCCTTGTGGGGGTCCCATGCCACTGCCTATTTTAACCTTCCCTGAACCAGGCAACGGAAGAACATGAGATGTGGCGCCTGCTCTGAGCCCGCTAGCACTGGCTGCCACGCAGAGTGTGGAGGGCAGGCAAGGTGGAGCCCACTGTCCCCGCCGGCCGCCCTCTGAGTCTGGGGGCCCAGGCCTTGCGCCCTCCCTGCACCTGGGCTGAGGCTCCAGTGACCCAACCTGCCTGGCGGGCAGCTGGGAAGGGGTGCTGGGCAGGGGCACAGGTGAGAGGGGTGGGCTGGGGGGGATGGAGGCCTGAAGTGCCTTTCCTTGAGTGGCAGGCAGTAGCGACAGGGCTGGGCTTGGGTTGAGTCCAGTGGGCTGGAGGGTCTGCTAACAGCTGGGTCACCGCTGGAGGGATCTTGGGGGCACTTGTGTTCCATCATTGTGCTAATGGGGTAACAAAGAGGCCAGCACCTCGCACGAGGTCTCCGAGCCCTTCGGTAGAGAGAGAGGTGGCTGCGTGCTCCTGGGACTCCCTTGCCTGGGAGCTTTGGGGCCATGAGACCCAGAGAGGGGTAGAGGCAGGTGTGGAGTTGCTTTGAGCTGCTCGCGGTGCCCCTGCAGCTTCCCTCTTAGGGCTGTGCATGGTGTGAACCCGCTCCTGGCTACCTGTGGTGTCACCACCCTGGCATGTGTGCCTGACAGCTGGCCTGTTGGTGTGGTCTGTCCCTGCTTCCCTGAGCTCCTGGAAGGGAGGGCTGGCCTGTTTATCCCCTGAGCCTGGCTGAGCCCTGTGTGAGCGGTGGAGACACGGGGGCTGGGGGACACTGGTGGCAGGGTGCTGCTGACAGGCAGGAGACTTTCTACAGAAAGCAAGAGGCGATTAGGGTGGCCCTTGGCCACGTGCAGGTCCAGACCCCTCACCTCCTTGTGCTGGCAGCACTGACTGTCTGGGCCCCGTTCCCTGAGGATGGGCCACCCAGAGAGACCTGGGCTCAGATGTTGGCAGTGGCCAAGGGTCGGAGGAGGGGAGGGCAGCAGCCCTGCGTGGGTTTTCCGCAGGTCACAGCGGGCTGGCGGGGGCCAGGCTCAGGCTTCTTAGGGGAGCTTGACCTCTGTCGCCAGAGAGGGACCCGTCCCCTGTGTGCTGGGGTTCAGCATGTCCTGGGGGTGTGTGTGTGTCTGAAATCCCTGTTCCCTGTGTCCTCCGTCACGCGCTGCTGGCTGCGTGCTAGCTGCCCTGTCGCCTGCAGGCCCGGGTCAGTCCTGGTAGGAGCCATTCTTCCTTGTGCTCCCATGTAGGGAAACTGAGGCCTAAGAGAGTTTCTCAGCATGGTCAGGAGGAGGCCCCAGGAGAAGTATTGCCTGTGACTGTGGGCTCAGGGCAGGCTTGAACCCCTCATGGGAGGGTGGGGCCCCTTGTGACCCTTTCTGTTCATTCTCTTCGTCTCTGCCCCCAGATGCTGTGTGCCGTGGAGCCGCCTGGGATTCATGGAGTGCGCCGTGGGGTCCAGCCCTGAGCACCGCTGCCCCCGACGTCCCCGAGCCTGCTGCTGAGCGTCCCCGCACTGCTGGCTGTCACCATTGCCCTCGACTGCCGATGGCCTCTGCTGTCCAGCCTGGGGCCAGCTCTACTGCCTGAGCCGCCCGCCCCCCTCCAGGACTCACCGTACCCCGATGGGGTAACGTGACAGGGGCCCCGCACATCAGAGGCCACTGTCCCCACGGCCGCTGCCCGTGACCCCTGGCCCAAGGGTGCTGGAGTTGATTCAGTTCAAGTTCATTCTTCCTCTGGCCGCTGGGGGCTTGGGGCCCGCCTCTGAGTGAAGAAGGCTGTCTGCCCGTCCACCGATGTGGAGGGCGCGCGCCCGGCGTGGGGTCCGGCTCTGGGCACCGTGTGGCGGCTGGATTTACTTCGGGTTTTTACGTTTTCTTTGCTGAGTTCCTTTGGTAGTTCTTTTTATTTTTTGCCCCTTTAGGACCATCCAGCTCTGAGAGACGGGAGTTTGGAGTTGCCCACAGTACTTTGGGGGCTGTTTTGTTCTTTGCTTTTTTAAGGGTTGGATTTTCTTTTTTAATTATCCAAACTCTGGGCAGCTTCCTCCCCCACGCCCAAGTTATTTGCACAATATTTGTGCGGGGTGTGGGGGTGGGTTTTTAAAAAGATCTCTTTCTGTCGGACAAGCACAGGGATCTCGTTCTCCTCATTTTTGAGGGGTCGTGGGGACTCTCAGGTCTGTGTCCCCAGCCTTCTCTGCAGCCCCTTTCCGCCCTGTGCGGCCGGCGTCGGGAGGCGCCATGGCTCGGATGAACCGCCCGGCCCCCGTGGAGGTGAGCTACAAACACATGCGCTTCCTCATCACCCACAACCCCACCAACGCCACCCTCAGCGCCTTCATTGAGGTGAGTGCAGGTGGAGGCGGGGCGGGCAGGTCCAGCCACGGTGGCAGGGAAGCCTGGCTGAACTGCGCTCAGGCCTCTCGAGAGGGGTCCACTGGCCTGGCTGGCTAGACAGGGCTCAGTCCCCCATTACAGGGTCCGGGAGGAGGGATGTGGGGATGCCCTGGGGCCTCGGGGGTGAGGGTGTTGGGGGATCAACTGGGTCCCCTACGGGGCCTGCAGGGGGCTGGCGTATGACAGGAGGGACTCCATGCCACGTGGATAGAGGCAAGTGGGGAAGCTGGGGTACTCGGGCCAGGCTGCGTGCGCTCAGCTGTGGCCTGGGCTGGGGCCCTCCTGAGCCCTTTGCTGTCCTTTTGGCCTCTGTGCCTAGACTGAGCGGGCAGGAGGTGCCCTGGTGTGAGAAGTGGCTGCTTATGGGGAAGCAGGTGGATGGGGACACGTGGGCAGGTCGACTCCGTGGCCGGCCAGGCTTCCGGGCGTTGCCCTGCTCTGCATTGCCGGGCTCCGGGTGAGGCCTCAGGCTAGACCAGGCTGGGCTGGGGGCTTCAGGGCCTGGATATCTGTGTGAGGAGGGACAGGGCAAGTGTCAGTGCTGACTGCAGGAGGGAGGGACCACCGTGCCCTGGGGAGATGGGAGGCAGCAATGCCTGCCACTGGCCCCCCGGCACACGGGACCAGATGCGTTTGCAGAAGCCGTGTTGGGCGTGGAGACTGCAGCGATCTGCCTCACCTCCTGGAGGAGCCTGGCCTCTGCGGAGTGCCCTGCTGCCTGCAGACCTGGGCCCATTTGCAGCGTCTGCAGCGGTGTGTGGGCTGTTGACAGAGCCTCTGGCTGTGCCAGGCTGAGTCAGAGGCCGCAGCTGTGTGCAGGGTCATTTGTGGCTGAGTCCGCTGCCACATGAGACAGACCTTCACGGCCTTGTCATAATGAAACAGGGATTTGGGTGTGAGAGGGCATTGAGAACTGTGGAGCAGGAGGCATTGGGCACCCTGCCATTAGGGAGCCTGGACCCTGGACACTGAGCCAGGTACCCTACAGAAGATGGCTGTCACCTGCACAGCTGAGACCTCTGAGGTAACAGCAGAACCTACAGAAAGATTGGTGAGAACAGCATGATGAGCGGCCAGGCTCAGGCCTCAGAATGTGACTGGGATCAGGGTTAAGCCTGTAACCAAGGGCAGGTCTCAGGTGTGACCAGGACCAGGGCTCAGTATGTGACCAGGAACAGGGCTCAGTGTGTGACCAGGATCAGGGCTCAGCGTGCGACCAGGATCGGGGCCCAGTATGTGACCAGGATCGGGGCTCAGTGTGTGACCAGGATCGGGGCTCAGTGTGTGACCAGGATCAGGACTCAGTGTGACCAGGATCGGGGCTCAGTATGTGACCAGGATCGGGGCTCAGTGTGTGACCAGGATCGGGGCTCAGTGTGTGATCAGGATCAGGACTCAGTGTGACCAGGATCAGGGCTCAGTATGTGACCAGGATCGGGGCTCAGTGTGTGATCAGGATCGGGGCTCAGTGTGTGACCAGGATCAGGACTCAGTGTGACCAGGATCGGGGCTCAGTATGTGACCAGGATCGGGGCCCAGTATGTGACCAGGATCGGGGCTCAGTGTGTGACCAGGATCAGGACTCAGTGTGACCAGGATCAGGGCTCAGTATGTGACCAGGATCGCGGCTCAGTGTGTGACCAAGGTTGGGGCTCAGTGTGTGATCCGGATTGGGGCTCAGTGTGTGACCCAGATGGGGGCTCAGTGTGTGACCCAGATCGGGGCTCAGTGTGTGACCTGGATCGGAGCTCAGTGTGTGTAACCAGGATCGGTGCTCAATCTGTGACCAGAATCAGGGTTCAGTGTGTGACCAAGATTGGGGCTCAATCTGTGACCAGGATCAGGGCTCAGTGTGTGACCAGGGTCGGGGCCCAGCATATGACCAGGATTAGGGCTCAGTGTGTGACTGTCAAGGCTCAGTATGTGACCAGGATCAGGGAGGGCTCAGCCTGTGACCAGGGCTAGGGCTAAGTCCTGGGCTTGGTGGCTGTTCCCTCTGCTGAGGGTACAGAGGGACTCTGAGGTACCCCACAGTCACAGAGCCCAGCATCTTTACCTGCACCCTGCATTCTCGGATAGTTGGGTGCTGGCCTCTCTTGTGTTCCATGTCCCTGTCCCGTGACTAGCAAGGCCCAGCAGCTGATTCCTTACCACTCCCAAAATAGCTGCAAGAGCAGATGGGGTGGGAACAGCCCCCGCACGTGACTCCCGTGGAGTGGAACCCCCCGAACTGGGGGTATAAATATCGGCCTGGCTGTGAACTGCTGTGACCTTTTCCCTGGTTGTGTGGGTTTTCCCTGCTGGCGTACAGGGCCCAGCTCCCTCCTGGCTGCCATCTGAGAGGTGCCTGCCCTCCCTGGTCTGAGGCACCACAGCTGATGCCCACCCTTCTTAGACCCCAAAGCCCCTCTGGACTGGACCCATCTGTGCGGCTCAGCCTGGGGAGCTGCTGGGATGCAGGGGCTCACATGTGGGCTGGGGGGTCTGGTTCCTGCTGCAGGGACCCGGTAGCTTTTCTGGAAGAAATGTTGTTCCTGGTCGATCTGGGGTCCTGAGCACCCCAGAGGAGGGGGTGATGTGCTGGGAAGCTGGATCCCAGCCGCTGAGCTGTGGGTGACTGTGAATGTGGGCGGGGACACCTTTGCTGCTTCTGGGTGGCCCGAGGGACCTAGGATAGGCTCTTCCACATCCAGATGCCACCTCCACCACCACGGATCCCAAGTCCACTCTTGGTGGGCCCCGCTGCATCAGGGTCTGCCTGGCTAGAGGGTGACATGCCCTTCACTGGCTTCTTCAAGGGCCATGACCCTGCCCTGTAGGCCTGAGGGGACAGGGCTTCACCCTGGGAGGTCTGAGGGGACATGTTCAAGTCCTGGGGGACTGGGGGGAAACGGCTGTGCCCTGGGAGCCCTGGTGAGTGGGGCCCACCCCCCAGCCCGCAGCCCAGCCCAGCCCTGCCTCCTCCGTCTTCCCACGCCCAGGACCTGAAGAAATACGGGGCCACCACCGTGGTGCGCGTGTGCGAAGTGACGTACGACAAAGCGCCGCTGGAGAAGGACGGCATCACAGTTGTGGTGAGGCGTGGCTTGGGGACCCTGGTGGCTGCTGCCACTGGGTGAGGGTGGGGCGGGGGCTCTGGGCCTGCCAGGGTGGCTTGGCGCCCCTCCTGTGGCAGTCCCGGGCCTGTTCGTGCCTGGGCCGTGTGTGTGTCTGGGAACATCAGGGGAAGGCCAGGGTGTTGGGCTGTGTGACCTCAAGAAAGTCACCCTAGTGCACCCCATCTTTCTGTCTAGAATGGACCAGGCTGGCTTGCGAGGCAGGGGTGGCACATGCTTGGTGCCTCTGCCAAGAGGCGGGCGGGCTCCTCTGCCTGTCTGGCCCTCCTCGGTCTTGCTGCCTGAGTGGCTGGGGCCCTGTTGCCAGGCTGTGGGCTCCTGGGGAGGATCCTTGGATAGTTTCCTTGGCTCCCTTGGCCCTGGGGACCCAGGTCTAGGAGGGGCGGGGCCGTTCTGCTGCCGTACCCTTCGGGGGTGGGGGGGGCCACAGCAGCTGCAGCCCCAGAGCCAGCCCCAGGGGAGTCCATCCCCAGCTGGTGGATGACTGGCCCCCGGCTCGAGCCTGTCCAGCTGCGCCTGGGCCTCAGGTTCCCCAGCGTGGAGGGGACCCCAGGACCCCAATTTTGGCAGGGGCTGCTGTTTCCTAACCTCGGCTTGGTGGTTTGGAGTGGTGGCTGCCCCGGCGTGTGGGGTCAGACAGGTGCCCCGCCTCTGCCCTCCCCAGCCTGTGACCCTGCAGGTCACTCCAGGCCTTGGGTTCCTCCCCTCAAAGCGGGCTGCTTGGAAGAATGGAGACGGGGTGCGCCCACGTCCTCCCTCCCCTTCCACAGCAGTGGGAGGGATTGGGGTCACATGTAAGTTGCTGTAATGTAGGTGAATGTAGGTGGGGACATCTACACTCAGACCAGTTGCCTCTAGGAGTCACCCTGCCTGGTGGCTGGGGAGGGGCAAGATGCCCCCAAAGGCTGCATGTCTGCCTCATTGGGCCCAGCGGGCTCTCCCTGGCACCAGACAGCCCCAGGTCTGGCACTGAAACGTGTCCGTCCCCACTGCAGCGCCCAGGCCCTCCTCTGGGAAGAGTCCCGCCGCCCGCCTGTCCGGGCTGCTGGGGGATGGGACCAAGGCAGGCGCAGGCCATCTTCCAAGACCAAATTAATCCCCAGCAGCAGTGGGCCAGGCCCCGGTGGAAACGCCTGTTGAGGGTCCTGCTCTCAGAAACGGGGCCTGCTTGTCCCACAGCCCCGTCTTCAGTCCTTCCTGGCACCTGGGCTGTGTGTGGCACGTGCCAGCCGTCTTCGCATGCTGCCACAGGGGACAGGATCCCTTGCACCAGCCGACCCAAAACCTCTCAGGCTGCCACCGGCACACAGGTGTGAGTGATTGTGACCCCAGAACCAGAGCTCGGGCTGACAGGTGTGGGGATTAGGATTTGTGCGACTCTGAAGGAGGGCTGGTCCAGGAAGGCTTCCTGGAGGGGACAGCTGACGTGAGCAGGGAATGATGAGTCTGAGGCACCCACTATGGGGTGTGCCCATGGCCATGCTGTGCCCTCCCTGTGTGTCCTCTGGGGTCTGCCACCCTCACCCTAGTGGGCTCCTGGCATCCTCTACCTGGCAGAGCTCCCTGCCCTACCGAGGTCAGGGGTCCTCATGTGTGCTTCCCTCCGCAGGACTGGCCGTTTGACGACGGGGCGCCCCCACCCGGCAAGGTCGTGGAAGATTGGTTGAGTCTGGTGAAGGCCAAGTTCTGTGAGGCCCCGGGCAGCTGCGTGGCTGTGCACTGCGTGGCGGGCCTGGGCCGGTGAGCATCCGGGCAGGGCGGGATTGGCTATGCCAGGGCTTGGGCATCTCGTGGTCTGACAGCCGCATTTTTGGATGTGGGTGCTAAGCACATGTTCACGAGACTTCCAGGAGACCCGGGCCCCAAGATCTAGGGCTCCCAGGCTGGTCCTCTCCCAGCATTGCAGAGTTTGCTTCCCATAGTCTCACCCAGCTTCCTCCTGCTATGGTGGAAACTATCCCGACACCTTGTGCTGGAAAGGGCTGCCATCCCTGTCCCCAGACCCAGAGATACCCCCACACACAGCTGGGGCTCAGACCTTCTGCTTGGAGGAAGAACAGCTGTGATTGGATGAGATGACCAGTGGGACACCCCCATCTGCAGAGGACAATCCGGGCGAGCGGGGTTGATGGCAGGCCTGGATCCAGCCCTTAGCACGTCACCCGCCAGCCCTGTTAACCCTCCCCAGCAGCTCCCAGAGAGGCTGCCCGGGAGGGAGCCGGGATTTGGACTCAGCTCTCAGGCTGGGCTCCGAGGTGTGACATGCCTCTGTGGGGGAGCTTCAGGCAGTGGGGCGTCTGGGCCCCTCTGGCCCCGGTGCCCTGCCAAGGGGACAGGTGTGTGGGCTCCGATGACCCCGGCCCTCCTGTTTGCCCCCAGGGCTCCAGTCCTTGTGGCGCTGGCCCTTATCGAGAGCGGGATGAAGTACGAGGACGCCATCCAGTTCATCCGTCAGTGAGTGGCCGAGGTGGTGGTGGGGGCTGTGAGCACTGGGGGAGGGGCACCAGCTGCCCACGCAGGGCAGGGCCTGGCTTTCGCGGTGGTGTTGGCTGTGTGGTTCTGTCACCCTGAGGCTTTGATGATCCACACAAGCCGGGCCTTTCTGCAGAAACAGGGAAGCCTGGGGTGTTTCCTGTGGTGGGGACAGTGGTCCCCAAGGGGACCGTGCAGCCACACAGGGACACAGTGAGGCCACTCGACACGCTGTCCTGCCTCCCCTCGACAGCACAGCTCCTTCAGGCCCAGCCGTCCTGACTGGGGTGGAAGGACCCGCAGAGCCAGCCAGGTCACCCCCTCCATGAAAAGCAAGAACCTGAAACCCCATACTGCACCGTGTCCGCCCCCAGGGACACTGACTCTGGGCTAGTGTCTCAGAGCTGCCCTGAGTCCAGCTGCTCACTGCCGCTCCCCCTCCACCCCGCACACTCCAGCTCAGCCCTCCCCGCCCTCCTGGGAGGCTTCCCGGCCAGCTTGCCTGCCCGTCCCTGCCGACTGGGGGCCTCCCTGGGGGGTGGGCTGCCATCTGCCCACTGCCCAGGGGGTCCTGGGGAAGTCTGGCCGGGACAGCAGCACTGGCCAACTCTGGGGGAATGTAAAGGGCACCTGCAGTCTGCCCCTGCCCAGCCTGCCATGTGCGTGCCTGTGAGTGTGGCACCCACACCTGCAGGGCTGAGGGCCCCACGGGGTCGTGCGGTGAGCCTGATGCTGTGCTGAGGCGCAGGATCCGAGAAATAAAGAGACAGGACACAGAAGTACAAAGAAAACGCAGCTGGGCTCGGGGGGCCACGTCACCCATGAGCGGAGTCAGGCGAGGCCCCGAGTGTCCAGAAGCCTGAGTATTTATTGTGTATAGGTCAGGGGGCAGGGCAGTGAGCGAAGTCATCTTTAAAGATAGTGATAGGGTCGTGAGCAATAAAACAAGCGTCCACCCCCATTAGGTCGCCGAGGCTCGAAGGTGGGCCGTGCACAGGGAAGAGGCTGCCGTGTGCGATACTTCTATCTATGGGAAAACTACTTCGAAGATTTACGGGGGGGATGCTTTAAGTCACACAGCAGTGACAGAGCTGTCAGGGTTACCGCCACCTTCTGGCAGCTTCCAGTGGGTTCTATGGGAAGATGCTTTTCCAGCAGCACAGTAGCAAGAGCTGATAAAGTTCACAGTCCCCAAGGTGGATTGCCGGTCTGAGGGCAGCCTTCCACGAGAACTGGAGCAGGGTCCTACAGCTCCTTCATCAGGAGGAGTGGCTCTTGCCCCAAGCCTGCCATACAGTGGGTATCTTTACGACATTGAACGCTGCCGCCTGGGCCGTGGAGTCTTGTCCTGGTCTAACTGTTTCTCCCTTGATTCATGCTCTGCACTGTGTCCGCTCTAGGCATTCCTCCGATTATGAACTAAGATGTAATTATAGGTATATATGTAGGGAAATATTCTTCAGGCACTCATGCTATCAATGATTATATGATTATGTAGAGAGGATTATATAAAGGGACTCTTCCAGCCCTGTTTCTATAACTAATATATGATTATGTAAAGGGTTATATAAAAGGAAATAGGTGAGTAGTAACACTGTAAAGTGAGATATTCCTCAGGCTCTAACTGTGCCAGGGCTCTGCTTAGCTCTCATTCCTCGGTGCCTATGTGGGGGTTACCCACACACACCTGTGCTGCTCCTCAGACAGGCTTGGCTGGCGGGGCCTCTTCCCGTCAGAGGCAGGCTTGCTCCTGGCCGTGCCGGCTGGCCCTGTGGGTTGGGTCCGTGTGAGAGCCTGGCCTGCCCTGCGGGTCCATGTGAGAGTGGCCTGCAGGTGCTCGGGTCTCCTTGGGGAGACTGGGGCTTCCACGGGCACACACAGACACGCTCACATACACAGACACACATGGGGGACATGCAGGCACATGTTCACACAGAAGCATGTGTGCACACACAGACCCAGACACGCAGGCACACACTCAGGTGCAGGCAGGCGTGTGAACTCAGGCACATACACACAAGTGGGTGTTTGCTCACACGGACGCACTAAGGCAGGTACACACGTGCGCACATACATGACCTGCACACTCACACATGCGCATGTGCACAGGAGCACCTTCCCCGGGCCCCGCCCCACGCCCTGCCCCATGCCCCGCCCCACACCCTGCTCCACCCCCTGCCCCGCCCCATCCCACACCTGCCCCACGCCTCTCCCCACCCCGCCCCACGCCCTGCCCTGGGCCTCGCGCCTGGCACCTCTCGGACCAGGGGCTTGTCGCTTCCTCGTGGCTTGGCTGCCCCCTGCCTGATGCTGCGCTGGGCAGGACAGGCCGGGCCGTGCTGCGGATGGAGGCAGGTCCAGACCCCAGTAGCCTGGAACAGCACGGGGGCTTCTCGCACCTGTCGCTGCCTGTTGGCTGGGGTCCTACGCTGAGGCCTGGCTGAGGGCCGCACCTTCCCCGGTGTGCCGTGGGGCAGAGGAAGCCACCATGGAGCAGGAAGGCGCCTGCAGCTTTGCTGGGCAGAGACTCTTCGGGTTACTTCCGCCCCCACTTCCTTGGCCTGGGCCGGCCTGTGGCCTGAGGTCATGGCAGGTGGGGATGGATGAGCCTCTAGAGGGGCTGAGTGGGCAGCCCTAGGCCCCCCATGCCTGTCTCCTCAGGGCCTCTCAGGCAGGCATGGCTCCAGCATCCTTCCCTCCAGGAAGCCCTTCTGTCCACTCCAGCCAGGAACATGCAGTCAAGGACCAGGTGGCGGGGATCGGGTGAATGCACAGCCCAGGTCTCTGCTATAGGGAGCAGATGGCAGGGACAGGGAGTGCATGCAGCTCAGGTCCCCGCTGTACTGGGAGGCCACACAGCTGGGTGGGAATTCTGGGCACGGCCCCTTCCTTCCTGACAGGGCTCCCCTCCCTGGATGGTGGAGGTGCCCAGGTTCATGGCCTTGGGGTAGGTCCTACGCTGCTGGGGAATCCTGGGGGCCGTAGGGAGCTCAGGGAGTCAGCCTGAGCTTGAGGCTTTGGTGCGTGTGGAAGGCCAGCAGGGCGAGCTGCAGGGGTCAGGAAAGGGTGACTGTGACTCTGGAACAGCCCTGGGCGGGGACGGGCTTGGCCCGCCGCAAGGCCTCGCTGCGGCCCACTGCACTCTCAGCTTCCGGCCCCCTGGGGCAGGCAGGGTGGGCGAGCCAGGGCCTTGGATGATCCCTGCCCTGTTCCTTCCTCCCAGGAAGCGCCGTGGAGCCATCAACAGCAAGCAGCTGACCTACCTGGAGAAATACCGACCTAAACAGAGGCTGCGGTTCAAAGACCCACAGACGCACAAGACCCGCTGCTGTGTCATGTAGCTCAGGACCTCGGCTGGGCCTGGCTTCCGGGCCTGGGGCCCATGGTGGCCCTGCCGTGCCGTGCCCTGCCCAGCCCAGCCCAGCCCAGCCCAGCAGGGGCTCCGTGCCTTGGCCGGCCCCACCTGCCTTTCCGCCCCCCGATGCCCCCCATTCCCCCCATCCCCTTATCCCCCCGCACCCCCTCCCCACTCCTGGATCTTTGTCCTGTCCCTGCAGTTTCCATTGGTGGCGCTGCCCCTGGCTCTGTCTCTCCGCGGTGGGTGGGGTGCCCTCTTCCCCAGCCCCCCGGCCCGCCCCCTCCCACGCCAGCCGGGGCTGGGCTCCTCCGGCCTGTTTGTTGCAGGGCGGGGGTGTATTTTGTGACCACTGGGCCCAGCCCCTCCTCTGCAGCCCCTTGCCCTGACCTGTTCTCGGCACCTTAAGTTATTAGACCCCGGGACAGTCAGGTGCTCCGGATGCTCGAAGGCAATAAAACAGGAGCCGTGCCGTGTGTGTGGAGTGGGCTGTGGGGTTAGGTGGGATGGGCCCTGGCCTGGGGGCCCCCGGAGGCCGCAGTCGGGACACTGGGCTGCTGCCCAGGATGGGGCTTCTGTGTGCTCCCATGCTGCCCTCTGGTGGCTGCGCTGGGTCCCTGCACCCCGACGCAGGGGCCAGCCTGCCCTGTCCTGCTAACCAAGGCTGGAGCCCAACTTTGGCCGGGGTGGCCGTGTTGACCGTTCTTGGGGCTGTGGCGTTAGAGGGTGAGGCCAGGTCGTCAGCATTGTCCTCTGCAGGATGGATGGGGCTTCATTTGGCAATTCTTCAGGGCCTGAGTCTGGTGAGTCGGCCTCCCCGTCCCGCCCTGCCCCGTCCCGCCCTGCCCTGTCCCAACCAGGTGTCCACATTTCAGGATTTGAGGCCCGGAGAACGGCACAGGCGGTGGCTGGGGTGGAGGAGGGTGCCGCCCATCAGCCCAGGGAGCAGGGTGCCGCCTGGGCACCTGAGGGTGGAGGAAGGCGCCGCCCATCAGCCCAGGGAGCAGGGTGCCGCCTGGGCACCTGAGGGTGGAGGAAGGCGCCGCCCATCAGCCCAGGGAGCAGGGTGCTGCCTGGGCACCTGAGGGTGGAGGAAGGCTTCGTCCATCAGCCCAGGGAGCAGGGTGCCACCTGGGCACCCGAGGGTGGAGGAAGGCACTGCCCATCAGCCCAGGGAGCAGGGTGCTGCCTGGGCACCTGAGGGTGGAGGAAGGCTTCGTCCATCAGCCCAGGGAGCAGGGTGCCACCTGGGCACCCGAGGGTGGAGGAAGGCACCGCCCATCAGCCCAGGGAGCAGGGTGCTGCCTGGGCACCTGAGGGTGGTGACTGCCAGAGGGTGTGGATGTTTGCGCATGTGTCTCTGTTGGGGGGCTGGCCCCACCCTAGGCTGAGGTACATGGAGGGCATGGCCCCAGGTGGAGGAAAGTGGGCCTGGGCTGGCCCAGGGTGTGGCGAGCCAGGGAGTGGTCTCTGCCCTGGGGCCCCAGGAGGTTTCAGCAAGGAGTGATGGGAGCAGGCGCTGCAGGAGGTCAGTGGACAAGGTGGGGCTTGTCCCCTGACAAGGTGGGGACAAGCCCCTTCTCAGGCGGCCCTGCCTCTGAAGCCGACAGATGGCTACGGGGGCACAGACCTGCCCCCCCAGCTCCTATGTGGAGAAAGGGCAACAGCTGTCCCGGATGGCCACTCCCTCCTGTCCTCAAACACATCTGGAACAAGTAAATCTGACAGGTGTTGGGTGAAGTTTGCTCTATTTTTTCAATCCATCAACCAAGTTTTGGGGTCAGCGCTGCTGGCCCTGTGTAACCATGTCCCTGCTGGGAAGTTCACAGTCTAGCAGGGTTGGGGGAAGACAGGCTGATGAGCCTCCCAGTATAGCTGGGGTGCTCCACCTCGGGGCAGGGGAGGTGGGGCCTCAGGGTGCTCTACCTGGGGGGTGGAGGGGCATGGAGGACATGGAAGTGGGGCCGCGGCGGGCTCCACCCTGGTGGGGGCGGGGGGAATGGGAGTATGGAGGAGGGCCTTGGGGTGCTCTACCTCAGGGGGGCAGGGGGCTTGGAGGCAGGGCTGGGGGGGTGCAGTGCAGAGTACCAGGCAGGGAGGTGGGGGAGATGCTCCAGGTGGAAGGACCACCTGGCTGAGAATGGAGTGGGGGTCAGTGCTGGCCAGGAGGGGAAAGGGGGTACAGGCTGGATCATCCCATTGGTGGGATGGTGGCTGGCCTGGCAGGGTCCTGAGGGAGGTGCAGGCTGGGATGAGACCCCAGGCAGAGGGGCTCTCCAGGGCTGTGTGGACCCCAGGCCAGGGGGACCCCAGGGCAAGGCTGCAGCTTGGGTAGGTCCCCAGGTGGCTCTCTGGGAGTCTAGGGTATCTGCCTCTGGACTCATCCCTCCAAGCTTCTTGGGAGGAAGGTGTTACTGCCCATTTTGCAGATGGAACGGCCGAGGCTCAGAGAGCCAAGACTCCTGCTTCAGGCCACAGTGTATCCCAGGTGGGCCAGGCCGGTTCTGCTGCTCACCATGAATGAACTGAGAAGGATGTAGGTGGGGGTGGGGGGAGACCCTGGGGGCTCGAGGTTGGGGGTCACGACTGAGGGGACCCCATCCCACTGTCAGCTCCAGCCACTGTGGCACTCGCAGCTGGAGACAAACTGAATACTGCCGTGGAGGCTGCCCTCAAGCACCCACCCAGCCCTCAGGACCCAGGACCCTGGATTCTGGCAGGCTGTAACTTGGGCTGAGGTCCCAATCAAGGTGACCCTGTCTCCAGGAGTGGACAGGCATCCACTCGCAGGGCGCTTCACAGACTTCACAGTTTGACCCCTGGCCTGACCCTGAGCTTGTCCCCAAGCCCCGCCAGCGTCTCCTGGGGCGAGTGGGCAGGGAGCTGACACGCATAGTCCTTCTCTGTTGAGTCTAGATCTTCCTTTCAAGTGGAAAATCATTATGCAATCAAGCTCTGCGTGGGGGGCAGGTGGGGAATGGCTGGCCAGGTGGGCACAGGGGAGGGGAAGGCAGTGGGGGAAGACAGCTGGAGGTCACTGCTTGGGCCTGGCCAACACGTCCTGGTGGCGATTCCCGGATGCTCAGCTCTGGGTCACTTTTGAGATCCTCAAAAGCTCCAGGAGAGGAGGAGCAGGTCAGAGGTGACCCCAGCCCAGGGGCAGCCCCTTCACTCCAGCCTGGGTGGGGTTGTGGGGTGGGTGGTGGGTGAGGCCAGCTCAGAGCCCACCTGTGATTCCAGGCCTGGGTACTTCCCTCCACACTCACCCGCCACTGCCATTCCCCGGTCCCTCGTTTTATTGGTGCCATGAGGCAGCTGTGTGAGCCCAGGCCCCAGGTGCCCTGATGGGAGCCTGGGGGAGATCTCGGCCTCCAGATATGAAGGTGGGGTGGGGGCTGGGTGCTGCTCAGGAGGCCTGAGTCTTTCTCCTGATGCTGGGCTGGGGGAGGGTCCCCTCTGGGGCCTTAGTCTTGCTGTCTGCAGTAGGTCTTAGTCTGCTTGGGTGGTGTGGGGTGGAGGCTGCGGGAGCTCTGGAGGGAGGGCCACTTACTGTGGAACAAGCAGGTTGGTGTCCACGGCATTCAGCATCTGGGACACGGCCTTGGGGTGGTAGCAGATGGTATAGCCTGGCAACAGCCGGGCAGCTGGCGGCTCGGGGTTCCCTGTCTCCTGGGGGGCTCCAGCCCACCCTTGCCCCCTCTTCAGCCCAAAGCCCCTCCTCATCCGCCCCTTTCCTCTCTTGTGGGTATGTGGGTCAGGGCGGGATCAAGGGTGCTTGGGTGGGGGCAGGCCTGGGGGTCTCCAAGCCCGGCTCTTCGCCCTCCCACTTATGAAGAGCGCTGCCCAGGTCTTGATGTAGCAGGAGTGGCTGTGCGGGTAGCTGAGCGCCTGGGACAAGTGGATGCTGAATTCCTCCTGGCTTCGGGGCATCTGGCAGGAGAGCATGCCTGGGTGGGACAGGGGTTGGGGGGCCGTGGGGGTACCATGGACCTCCAGGCCCAGCCTGCCTTGCCCAGCCCCCGGGGCTGCCACAGCAGCTGTGTGTGAGGCAGGAGGGAACTGGGAGCCGCAAGCCTGGCCCTTCCACTCCTGGCCCTGTTCCTCCTCACCGATCCCAGGCCCCTCACCAGGCAGGTCCAGAGGAAGTGGCCGGTGCTGAGGCCCCTCTCCCAGGCCAGCGTGCAGAAGAGGGTGTGCCGCAGCCGCCAGCGGAGCGGGAGAAGGCGAACTTGGCTTGCTGTGGGGTTAGGCTCGGAGGACTCGCCCGCCGCCCGTGTCTGAGCCCCTTGCCCTGGAGACCACAGGCCTCGGTGGGCACTGGAGGCAGCCTGCTGTGCAGGTATCCTTGGCTCCGTCCTGCTTGTGCCCCTCGGCAAGCCTCCTGCACCCTGGCAATGCCACCTGGTGCCCCCCCACCCTGAGAGCCCAGGCTGGCCTGCCCGCGGCTCTGGCTGTTCATTCCACAGGCTGCTGCATTTCCTCTTTTTCCCCATGGCAGGGAGACCCACGAGGCCAAGCTGTGACCTTGTGGGCTGGGCACAGGGCGTGTGCTGGCACCCCAGGCGGGGTGCAGTCCATATTCCAAAAAGCTCCTCGAGCTGCTGGATCCCCCACCCCGTGCCAGGCCCTGGGGACACAGCAGTGGGCAGAAAAAGGCCGGTTCCTGCCACATCGACACGACAGCAAGCCTTGCTCGCATGTGTGCGCGCAGTGGGGTAGTGGGCAGGCCGACTAGTGGTCAGAGGAACCAGTCAGGCGACCAGACCCTCTGCCTGCCACTTGCTGCTCTGTGGGACCCCTCCCTACTCTCAGGCAGCCCTGCTGCCATCTGTCTGCCCTGTGCCCTGGCCTTCTGTGGGCCCCAGCCCTGGCCGAGACAAAGGCCTACTACCTGCTTTGCCTGGGGTGGGCACTGACCATGGCGACAGCTGGGCATCGATCCTTCAGGTGCAGGAGCAGGGGTACCATGCTCTGGTGCACCTGGGTCCGCAGACCACTCGGCTCCCTGCCTGCCTTCACCGCCACCAGGTCCCCAAACAGTGCCATGGCTGCTGCCCGAGTCCCGTCCCGCTTCTGCAAGGCGGAGGCTCAGGCCTGTCTAGGGGCCGCGGCTTTGGTCCAAGTGGGACCCCACACCTCGTTGTAGGGGTGCAACTCAGTTCCTTCCACCGGATTCCTTCACCCAGGCACTCGGCTCCTGGGGCAGGGCTGGGTCTCCCTCCCCCTCACACAGGGCTGTGTCTCTGAGGACATAAAAATCACATCTCCCTTCTACCCAGAAGTGCATATTGGCAGCCAGGGATGCCTATCCCCCAATTTTCCAGTGAAAGAGAAGCAGCCACACGAACCATGCTGGTGTGTCGGAGTTACATCCAGGCAGCCTGCTGTGGGGCTGGAGTCCAGTGGAGTTGGGGACTGGACGTGAGAGCTAGTTCAGCCCCGTGGAGAAGGGGTACGCGCCAGGGGCCCACCGCCACCGAGGGCTGCTAGTGGGCAGCTCCCCTGGGCCCGGGCCTTCCTGCTGTAGCTCGGGGTCCCCCTGTGGCAAAGAAAGGGAGCTGCGTTGGGAGGAGGGTCCTGCTGTGCCCCAGTGCTCACATCGTCAAAGAAGGAGCGTGTGTTGACGGCGACACGGAGGCTCTGGAACCCCACGCCCTGCGCGCCCAGGCGGTGCAGCGTGTCTGACACGGTGTTCATGATGCACACGACCACCTGCTTGCTGCTCTGGAAGAAGCCGTTGAGGAAGGGCCGCAGCTGTCCCCGCAGCAGGCTTCCCTGGGGGCGGTGGGGGCTGGTGGGCAGAGGGCACCAGGACCTGCTGGCCCTGCACCTCGCCTCGCCCTCCCACTTGCCCCCCTCACCCCATCCGCACCGGAGGGTGACTCAGAGCTGTGGATTCTGGCCTGGCCCTGCCCACCATGGAGAGCTGTGCTCCCACCTGGGCTTTGCCCACTAGGAGCTGCATGGCCTGGACAGGGTGGCCTCTTTTCTTTTTGAGACAGGGTCTCACTCTGTCGCCCAGGCTTGAGTACAGTGGTGTGATCATAGCTCACGGCAGCCTTGACCTCCCAGGCTCAAGCAATCCTCCCACCACTAGCCTCCTGAATAGCTGGGGCTAAAGGTGGGTGCCACCACGCCTGGCTATTTTTTTTTTTTTTTGGTAGAGATGGGGTCTCACTGTGTTGCCCAGGCTGGTCTCAAATTCCTGGGCTTGAGCAGTCCACCTGCCTTGGCCTCCCAAAATGCTGGGATTACAGCTGTAAGCCAACACATTCGACTTGTATTTTTTTTTTTTTTTTTTTTTTTTTTTTTTTGCGTGTTTGCAGTGAGTTCCTGAGTTATTGGGATATTGGGATGAATGGTCAGCAGTGTGTCCACCAATGGATGTTTCTTGCCATTGGGACCCTCATCAATGCCTTTCGTACAAACCAGGGTGATTAGTGCAACCTTTAGACAAGTTTAATGCAATGTTGTTAGCTGTCTAAGCTGTTTGCTTTGAAAATATTTATGTTCAGCAAGTGAGTCATTCAACAGACAGTTTCTGAGCATCTGTGTTTGCAGCCAGTGTTTGAAGACCAGGGTTCTGGCTGGGTCAGAACAGGACAAAAGAATGGAATGTTAATGGAAATGGCTGGAAAAGAAAATGGAAATGCATGGCATGGCTTATTGCTGCTCAGAGTGGAGAGGGGTGCCCAGCGCCAGCCACGCCTCGTCCTGCCTGCCCATCCCCACGCTGGCAGTCCTCCCTGGCTGGCAGTGCTCTCGGGGCCTGTCTCTCTGGGCCTTCTGTGGCTGCTCTCCCACACCCCACTTGATGCCAGGCAGGGAAGCATCCCTCCTCTCTGGACCTGGTCCTTCTGGTCTAGTGGGGCCCTTCCTTCCCTTTCTCTCTTCCCTGTGTTCAGTGCATGGTTCAGAGGAGGCACATGGAAACTTCCTCCTGATATCTCCCTGTCTGGGATAACATATGGTACAGAGACAAACAAACACTGAATGAGTGAATGAATGAATGAATGAATGGAGGAGCAAACATGAATAACTAATTGAATGAATAGATACATAAAGAATGAGCAAAATAAATAATGCAAGAATGACTCATAGATGAAGGACCCAAGGACCAAGTGGGTAGGTGGAGGGATGGATATGTGGGTGCATGGGGGGGATCAATGGACGGATGAATGGAGGAATTAATGAATGGGTAGATGGATGGGGGCATGCCTGGAGAAATGAATGGGTGGGTGGATGGTTGGATGGATGGAGGGATGAATGGGTGAGTGGATGGATAGGTAGGTGAATAGTTGGATGGGTGGCTGGATGGGTGGAGACATGGATGCAGAGATGAATGGATGGGTAGGTGAATAGCTGGATGAATGGGTGAGTGGATGGTTGGATGGATGGGTGGGTGGGTGGCGGGATGGATGGTTGGGTGTATGGGATCAATGGATAGATGGAAGGATGAATGGCTGGGTGGGTGGTAGAGGCATAGAAGGAGAGATGAATGGGTGAGTGAATGGACAGGCAGGTGAAGAGTTGGAAGAATGGATGAAGAGCTGAGTGGACTGGATGACTGGGTGGGTGGGTGGATGGATGGATGCATGGAGAGATCAATGGACTGGATGAATGCGTGGATGCGTGGGTGGAGAGATGAGTGGACTGGATGAATGGGTGGGTGGATGGATGGATGCATGCATGGAGAGATGAGTGGACTGGATGCATGGAGAGATCAGTGGACCAGATGAATGGATGGATGCGTGGGTGAATGGATGCATGGAGAGATGAGGGGACTAGATGCATGGGTGGGTGGCTGGGTGGATGGATGCATGGATGGAGAGAGGAGTGGACTGGGTGGCTGGGTGGGTGGCTGGCTGGCTGGATGGATGGATGAAGGATAGAGGGATGAACAGATTAATGAGGAGGTGCTATCTAGTCTCCATCTTCCATTAAGCACCTACTATGCATCATGCACAATGCAACAGGCTTTGCCAGCTGTGACCCTAATGGAGGTCTCTTCTGAACCATGTGGAGACCTGTGAGTGGAACAGAATTAGCGTGAACTAGTCTGCTGGGCAAATGACTTTGGGATCTGTTTGGAAACTGTCCCTTCTGCCTTTCCATGATCTTACTTTCTCTCACAAGCCCTGAAAATGTTTATGTTCATAACTGCCTCCTCCAACAGCAACAGAAATGGGGCTGGGCATGTCCCTCCCCTCTGGGGTCTTAACACAGCCCCTGGGGTGGATGAGGGGAGACTAAGGCTCCACACTTCCTGATCAGGTGAGAAAATCTCTGCCTCTAACCTGGCATTTTCATTTTGCAGTCAGCCAGGCAGGAAGGTTGCTGCCGCCGCCGCCAGGGCCTCTAGGGCTGACCTGCCTACCATAGGAGGCAGGTGCCATTACTGCTCCCATTTTACAGATGTGGTCGCTGAGGCCCGGAGAACTGACAAAGCCTGCCAGCTAGAAGGTGCTGGGGCCTGGACCCTTCACCACTGGTGCCCTGGGCCCCCACAGCAAGGGCAGTGTCAGTAAGTTGGGGGCTGTAGCTGGGTAAGACCAGATCTCCCGAAGGTGGCATCACAGGCCTTCCCTCCCACAGCTGTTCACGATGATGGTGGTGAGGTAGAACGGGTTGGGACTGGAGACGTCAGCAGGGGGTCGGGAGGACCCATTCTTCAGGTTCTCAGAGGGCGTTCTCCTCTCCGGCTGAGCCTTGGGATGCTACCTGGCCGGCTTCACAGTGGCCACCTGGAGGTCTGCAACACGGTCCCCCTCTGTGGGTGTCAGGAGACAGTCCCCGGGGAATAGACACTTCACCCCTCCCACAGCCTGCCCCGTTCTACAGATGCGGAAACAGGCCCAAGAGGTGGAGTCAGGTGCCGCAAGCCACACCACCTTAAGTGACAGAGCCGGGATTCCAACCCAGTGGCCCTTGCCGCACGGTGCACCGGCTGTTCTGTGGGGTCAGGGGTGTGCCAGCCACGGTGCCCGACTGCCCTTACCTTAGCTGGGTGGAAGAGGATGTTCCCCAGGCCCTGCAGACTTGACACGCGGACCTCGGTGCTGGGGTCCCAGAGGCCGTGCGCCCCGGTCAAGGCAGCCGGTTTGGGAAGCACCTCGAGCAGGGCAGGGCCGTAGAGGAACTGGGGTGGCCCCCGGGAGGTCAGGCAGGTCACTCTTGTGAGGTGCCCACTTCTGTGTTGAGGGGAGGGGCTCTAGGTCCAGGGTCCGGTTGGGAGTTTCAGGGAGGGAAGCTGACCAGTACCCTTTGGGTATCTTAGTTAACAAGTATTTGAAACCTACCTGGTTCAACCCCTTCACATATAGCTGGGGAAACTGAGCCCCAGAAAGGGAAAGGGCCTCGCCTGAAGTCACACAGCCAGGTGAGGCCTCACTTGTATCATGGGCCAGGCTTGTGGGGTACCTGGGGGTAGAGCTCCCATGGAGGGCAGCCCAGGCGGCTGGTGGGAGCTGGCATGAGGCTTTCGCTTGGGTTCCCCTACTGGTGTTATTTATGGAAACAGCACGCTCCTCGCCCCAGCCCCCCACCCTCTGCCTGAGCTTGCAGCTGCAAAGCATGCCACCCCCAGTGCTGTCTGCTTCTACCCATCCATTCCCCTTTGGCTTCACCGTGAGTGGCACAGGCAGGACAGGGCTGGTTGGAGCCTGAGTCTGCACCCAGTGCCCCTTCAACTCTGCAGGGATTGTGCCGGGGAGGGCCGAGTGGGAACACAGGTCCCCAAAGGCTGCAGCCCCCTCCAAGGGCTGGGAGTGGGAAGGCAAGGGGCGCAAGGGGGTCTGTCTGGGCAGCCGCCCTGGTCAGGGCGAGCTTTGGTGTGTGTTCTGCTGGGGTGTCAAGGAGGCTGGAGGAATTAGAGTGAACAGGCTCAGGCATCTGAGGTGCTCCCTGCCCGAATGCACCCTACCTCGGTGAGGATGAGGATGGCCACCTTCCTCTCCCGATCCTCTGGGCTCTGCAGCCTGGGCAGCAGCTGGTACAGCACCGCCGTGAGCTGCCTGCAGTGGTTCTGCACCATGGCCCTGCCGGGGAGGGCCTGGGCTGGGGGTCACTGCCTGGATCCCACCCTCCTGCCCCCACCCATCCCATTGGGCCCAGCGTCTAGAAGAGTCCTGATGGGCATGTTCCCACCCCCTTTGCATCCACTGGCTGCCCACTGCATGCCAGGCCTGGGCTGCACACGGGGGAGAAGGAGGTGCAGGCACAACCCTTGTCCCCTACACGGCCTCGGGCCAGGGTGAGGGCTGGGGGAATCAACAGGCTCTGGGTGTGTGCCTGTGACGGGGGGCAGGGGGCTGTGTCCCATGTCCCGTGTCCCTTCACTGCGGTCCAAATGCTGCAGTCCAGATACCCAGACCCCCGGATGGGCGTGGCCTGAAGCAGGCTGCCTCCACCTGCCCTGGCCCCACCGTACCTGGCGAGGAGGCCCACGCCCTTCGGGTAGGTGTGGATGGTGGTGAAGAGCTCCCAGGAACTCTGCAGCCCCAGGTGGGCAAAGACATGCCAGTGCCCCGTGGTGGACAGCAGGCTTTTCAGCGCCTCCAGGGATGTGCTGCAGCTGAGCAGAGGGGGTTCAGGGCCTTGGCCAAGTGGCCACCTGGGCCACCCCCTGCCCTGGGAAGGGTGCCCGGCTGACCCAGATAGAAAGCACATTCTGGTTCCTATGCCTGACGTCACTGAGGGCCCCAGGGCTGCCCTCTCCTGCCCTGCTTTGCACAGAAGTGCTGGGGCCTAGGATTGGCAGGGCTGGGATAGGCACGGGGAGGCAGCATGTGCTCACTCAGACCTGGGCCTTGCTTGAGCAGGAGACCGGGGGTGTCCTTCTAGGGAGGGGCAGGGTTCAGCTCGAGGATGGCAGCTTTAACTATGGGCGAAGAGTTCGGAGGGTGGCAGCAGGTGAGGGTGTGGGAGAGCTCGGAAGTGCGGCGTGGTGGAGCACAGGGAAGTGGTCATCTTCCCCTCCCAAGACTCCACTGCCCTCAGTGGACACGGAGAAGCTGGTGGCATCGCCCTTGCTTGTCTGTGATGGAGAAAGATGCCGCGTGTGGCTTGTGGTGTTGTCGTGTGCTTGGTGACTGCCAGGTGTCATGGGCGGTGCCTCACCTGCCCAGCCTGAGGTAGGACTCTACTGTCACTCTCCTTTAGCAGAGGAGGGAGTGGTCCAGAGAGGTGACATATCCTGTCACACAGCCTGGCCAGGGACACAGAGGTGGGGGCCCTGGCTCCAAACCTGCCAGTGATGTGACTGTCACAGGATGTCACTGTCACGGAATGCAGTCCCTGGGGCACAGATAGGAAGCCCCAGCATGCAGGCCTATGACACATGAGATGGCCCTGGCTTGCTGGCCTGTCTGTCTGTTCCAGCCACCTCCCCAGCTCGGTCAGTGTGAGGGCATCACCCTGGATGTGTGAGCACGCCCGGGTGGACGAGGCCGTCAGCTTGAACCACGCACGTTTCTGAGCAGATTTGCAAAACCAAGTGTCAAATGATGAAATGCCATCCGTGAAAGTTCTGATGGTGCCAATCCAAATGCCAGCTGGCTTGTCCTCTTGCCCCAAGCTGTGTCATAAAAAGAGGCAGCATTTTCCAGGTCACTGGTCTCAGCCTCAAAGTGACAATTGTTTTCAGAAGAAGGGGACTTGGTGGGGGGAGTGGCATTTTGTTTGCTCCGGGAGGATTCCAGAAGCTTCTGGTCCTGTGGCTTCTTGGGCACTGGATGGTTTGTTCTTTGAGATTGCCTTGTCCCTGCAGCCACAGGAGGACTTCTGGAAAGATGGGCTGATTTCAGCATTCTTGGGAATCCATATCCAACTCCCCTGCCTGTCCGTAAAACCGCAAACCACCTCCAGCCCAGGACCCCCGGCCATGCTCACCGACAGGTGTCTCCTGAAAGCCATGTGTAGCACCAAGGCCAATGAAGGCGGAGGCCCTCGAATCTATGCCTGGCCACAGACTCAGGGAAACATCTCCGTTCCTCTGGTCCCAGCGTCGTTGCCTGCCTTCAGCCTCTTTGGACACTTGGCTTCCCAGTGATGCCTGCCCCATACCCGACCAACCCCTTTCCCCACTCTGCTCCCAGAGGGCAAAGGCACCTGAGAAAGAGGAGGCAAAGCCCCTCTGCTTTCCACACCCCTCCCCAGCCTGGGGGTCCCTGAGACCCCTTCCCTCTCCCACTCTTTCCTCTTCTGGTTTTATTTTTCATTGTGGTAAAATACACATCTCATAAAAGTTACCATTTTAAGTGTACAGGTCAGGGCATTGAGCACATTCAAATATTGGGCAACCATCACCCCCATCCATCCTCAGAATGTTCTCATCTGCTCACACTGAAAGTTTGTCCCCATTAAACTCCCCACTCTCCCTTTGCCCAGTCCCTGGCACCCAGCATTCTACTTTCTGTCTCTATAGATTTGGCAACTCATGGACCTCCAGTAAGTGGACTCATACGGTATTTGACTGGCTTATTTCACTCAGCAGAGTGTACTCAAGATTCATCCATATTGTAGCGTCAGAATTTCCTTCCTTTTCAAGGCTGAATAGTATTCCATGGTTTGGGTGGACCTCCCTGCTTATCTGTTCACCCACTAATGAACAGTCGTGTTGCTTCTATCTTTGGGTTATTGTGAAAAGCACTGCTGTGAGCAGGGTGTACAAATATCTGTCCCAGGTGCCTGCTTTCCTTGTGGGTGTAAACTCATTAGTGGAATTCCTGGGCCATATGGTAATTCCACATGTAAGTTTTTGAGGAACTTCCATACTCTATTCCAAAGGGGCTGCACTGTTTTACTTTCCCACCGGCAGTGCACAAGGCTTCCAGTGTCTCCACATCCTCGCCAACATTCATTTTCTGATTTTTTTTTTTTTGGATGGTAGTCAACCTAATGAGTGTGAAGTTCCTCTTCTTCTTCTGATCACAAGCTTTTGCCCCCAAATCCCTGGCGGACAGATGGAAAGATGAAGATGAGATGAGGGTGAGGATGATGAAAGTCTTCCAAATAAAGAGAAACGATGTAGCCCACTAGAATTAACTAGCGTTGGCCCACATGGATGGCATGTGAGCGCAATGAGAATTCCTTCGTGGAGCAGGGCGGAGACTGGCTGGAGGTGGACCAGCTGAGAACTGGCCGACTTAGGAAACGTCTCTAAGGAAAAGGCTTTGTGAGTGGGAGGGGCAGGGGAGACGAAGGCCCCTCCGGCCAGCTTGGCAGCCCCTGTCACACGCCGCCCTGCCCGGGGAAGGGTGACTTGCCCGACCCCGCTTGCCGCTCGCTGGTCCCAGAGGCCCGTCCATCTCAGCAGGACACGAGACCTTCAGAGGCCCAGGACTAGCCCCACCAGGCCTCAAGACTCGCTTGCTGCCCCCCAGTGCCCTGTGCTGGGCACGCAGAGACATGCTACTCAGCACTGCACATCCAGATGCCCTTCTGGGCCCCTGTCCCCACCTCGACGGTGCCAGCAGCCTGGCAGGGACCTCAGACCCCTGGCCACGGGGATACCCCAGGGTGAGACTGTGCTCTCAGGCCTCCCAGGCTCCATGGTGGCGCGGCAGCTGATTGGGCAACCGGAGCCCGGCCCCCCAGGTTCCGCTTCCCAGGCCAGTCAGAGAGGCCGTGGGAGCCGGGCCTGGCCAATCAGAGCCGCACAGGCCCCTGTGGCCAGAGTGATTGGTTCAGGGGTGGGCATGGGGCCCAAACTAGGCCAATCAGAGCCAAGGACTGTGCACGTGGTGAGAGTTTCTCCTCTTGGGGCTGCGGGGGCCACCCCCAGGGTTCCGGGAGAACCTGCCCGGAGAGCGGCCGGCCGGTAGGGCGGAGCAGCCTGAGCGGAAACCACCGTGGCTCCGCGGGAGGCAGATATCCCTGCTGTATGGGGAGCCCCCAGTGAGACGGACAGACCGACATCCCAGCTCTATGCCTCAGCCAGTGAGACGGACAGAGGTTCAGCAGTGGTGGTGGGGGTGGGGGGCCCAGTGAGACAGACAGACAGACAGACATCCCTGCTCTATGCCTCAGCCAGTGAGTCGGACAGACGTCCAGCTGTATGGAGGCCCCCAGTGAGACGTCCAGCTGTGTGTGTTTGGGGGGACCCAGTGAGACAGACAGACAGACAGACAGACAGACAGACAGACAGACATCCCTGCTGTGTGGGGGAACCTGCGAGAGACAGATGTCCCTGGCTCTTCAGGGTCTTCCAGTCTATGGGTTCGGGCAGGTAACAGGCACAGAGCACAGATGGCAGCTGATGGCGGGGCTGGGAGGCGCCACGGGGCTGCTATTTTAGAGGGTGGTGGAGGAGGCCTCAGCGGGGTGCGGGTGAGCAGAGCCTGCAGAGGCAGGGTGGCTGGGGGAAGAACATTCCAGCAGGGGGAGGAGCAGACGGGTGAGGCTTGCTCCCAACCCCGACACGTTCCGGGAGGAGAACGTTTTATTAGCTTATTAGGGGAGATTCATGCATTTTGCATGGTTGAACTGAATAAAAAGGAACTTCACGCACATTCAAATTCAGAGGCAAGATGAGAAGAAGTGGCATTTTTAAAATGACTTGCCTTGGGGAGAGCCGGTAAAACGGACAAACTGCGTGACGCACATCATAATACAAGCAAATGAAAAGTGTCAGCCCCAGCGGTTTTTAAAGACTTGCTTATTGGAGTTTTGAAAATACGAGCTGGGGCAGAGTGAGGTTGAAGGCAGCCAGCCCTACTGGGGCCAGAATATGGCGGATGGGTGGGGGTGGGCGACAGGGGAGCAGGCGAGGGCCAGTGAGATGCCTAAGAGGGCCTGGAGAGGCATTGCCCAGATGGGTGAGCCCAGGTCGCCTCTGCACGGACATGCTGTGTGGCCCAGGGGAAGCCTCTGACCCTCTCTGAGCCTCGGTTGCCTCATCTGTAAAGCAGGGAAGATGACATTCATCTCGAGCCCTCGTGGGAAGCCCACTGGGGTAAGATGTGGCTCACTGCATGGGTGCTCTTGGTAATGCTGTCCCTGTGGAGTCCTGTATGGCAGCGACACTGAGTGTCTCTACTGCCAAGTACCCTCAGGTGACGGGTAAGCAGGACGAACACCTGCCTGTGGGTGCCGGCCACAGTCCCTGTGGTCCCGGCTGTGGATGGTGCTCGGGCTCATGACTGTTGTGGGTTGAATTGTGTCCCCCCAGAAAGAGATATGAAGTCAACCATCAGTACCTGTGAATGCGACCTTATTTGGAAATAGGTATTTGCAGCTGTCATTAAGTTGAGGTCGCTAGGGTGGGGCCCTAACCCAATGACTGGCATCCTTATAAGAAGGGGAAATGTATTCAGATGCTGAACTTAACTGTTCAACTGCTGAACCACTCAACAGACATGAACTAAAACTTACTTGACAGCAGGGAAAAATATAAGGGGGAATTTAGACCCTGGCACAGAAAGGAAAACGTCAGGTGACCACAGGGGCAGAGCTGAGCGCGGTGCAGTCTCAGGCCCGGGAGCATCCCGCGTCGCCATGAGACACTGGGAACCAGAAGCAGTGAGGAGGGACCTGCGGGTTTCAGGGGAGCACGCCCTGGCGACACCTGGGGTTTGGATTTCTGGCCTCTAGCACTGGGAGATGAAACATTCCTGTTGCTTTGAGCCCCTGGGGCATGCAGGCTGGTTACTGTGCCCTAGGAGGCTGACACTGTCTGTGCCCTGGATGCCTGCAGAACCCTGTGTACCGAGACCAGCTCGGCCGCAGAGACCCTCCCCCCACAGGCGGCGTGGAAGGCATGGAGAAGCAGACACCCAGGCAGAACAGCAAAGCGGGACTCTCCGGGGCCAGCAGCCTTCCGGGCGAGGGCCTCAGGGGCTGACAGCGTTCGGAGCTGAGGGCCTCGAGCAGACGCAGACCCAGGCATTTATTCTCTCTGAACAGGTGATAATTATTAACAAGCAGGTGTTCTGGGTGTGCTCACTAGGGAGGCAGCTGGTGCCTGCTCACCACTGATCACAGACAAACCAGAAAGCATTCTCCACGAGGGAGCCCCGGGGGCAGGTCACGTGTCCCCGCCGAAAGAATTGTTTTCACCGTGTATGGAATCCACGGACTGTTTTGCTGCTTTAGAACGCCCCAAGCAGGTTTCCACTTGTGGCGGTGGTGGTAGCAGTCGCAGTGGCCAGAGGGGCTGGGGCTGGGGGTGGGGGAGTGGGTGGCTAGGTTTTCCTTGCCACTGTGCTGCTTAGCAAACAATATAATTCTATCATACACTCAGCGTTTCTCAGCACCTGTATGTGGCCAGGCCAGCAGGCCTGGGAGGCTTAGTCTTACCTTTGGGGGCTGAGCACGGCCGCCTCTTGGGCCTGCTGCTTGGGCTGAGGCTCCCCGGGCAGGTTCAGCTCCAGGACATAGTGCACCTGGGTGAGGAGGGCCGGGAGGATCTCGGGGTAGGCCTCCTGCGTGGCCTGCTTGAACTCCTGGGCAGACTGCAGCTCATGCAGCGTGTTCATGGCCTGTCAGGGGCAGGCGTGCAGTGAGACTCCCAGGCCCAGGATCCCGGGACCAGGGGTTTTGACCCACAAAAGCCACATCTGAGCATGCTCGTCCCTCCCTGCTCCAAGCTCTTCAGGACCAAGTCCAAGTGTCCAGATGCTGTCCCTCCCTGTGGGGCCTGCCCTGTGCCTCCGCAGCCTCAGTCCAGCCCTCTCCTGCACCTTCTGCAGCCACTGCTCGGGTCTCACTGCTGCTGGAGGGCCTGGTAGTCCCCAGCCTCCCCCAGCTGTCTGCCTGGATGCTGTCCACCCTGCACCCCTGCAGACCTTGACACAGGGGGTCCCCCGACTGCACACTGGACACTGCCATCTGCCCTCCGCACTTTGCTCCTGTCTGAGGGTGACCTGCTGGCATCTGGGCCCTCCGCTCTGTTGCCTTGAGGGCAAGGTCCTGTGCTGTGTGGTCCCACGGTACCCTCAGCTCTGCGTCTGGCACACAGCAGGGCCTGATGCCTGGGAGTTGGGGAACCCATGGTCCTGCCAGGCAGAGGTAGCTGGCAGCAGCCTTAGCTCCCAGTCCACAAGGCCTACTGTGCCTGCAGGGCACTCAGTCCAGAACGTTCTCAGGGTGGGGGTCAGCACTGAGCAGTAATGACCGGCGGAGGGCAGGAATTGGCGGCACGGTGGGGTGCAGGGAAGGGTGCCCACTACGCCTGGGTGGGTCTCACCCGGGCTGCTGTGTGGTTCTCCGGCAGGGGACAGTATCAGGGCTGGGGAGTGTTGGGGATGGCCAGCTGACAGAGCTTGGGACCCAGGGGGTGCTCTCTCATCAGCCACCACTGTGAAACCACAGCCCTGCTGCAGACAGCAGCTTGTCTGGGGGGCTCCGGGTGGCAGGGGACTGCTGTGAGCTCTGGGCCACTGGTAGGGGGCACTTGGGGCAGGGACTCGGCATGGAGAGCTCTCACAGGAACAGCTGTGGCCTCATCAGGCTCCAGGCAAGGCACACAGGTATGGTCATGCCAGGAAGGGAGCTCCTGGCTCCTGGGAGTATGAGGCAGTGCTGGGCTTATGAGAAAAGCTGGGGACTTCCTACGGAGCGGGGTGGACGATGGCAGCTACAGAAGGCAGCCTCTAAGATTCTTCCAAAATCTATGACTGCCCAGAACCCAAGCATGGGGAGGGCCATCAAGTCGCTCCACACCCTCCCCCTCTGCCTAAAGCCCCTCTCCAAGGCTCCCCTTGACAGCCCGGGGCACTGACATGGCTGTCCTCATTCACAGACAGGAGCCCACAGCCCTTGGCCAGGAGGTGGGAGCTGGGCTTGTGCAGCCCTGGGCGGCTTTCCTCCAGGCTGGGGCTGGAGTGGGTGCAGCAGCCCGGATGTGGGGTGCCCCCCACAGCCTGGCACACAGCGAGTGCCCGAGGTGTGGCCAGCATCTGACAGGGCGGTGGCAGAGACTCACGGCCAGTGAACGCAGGGAGGTCCTCTCCTTGGGGTGGGGGCTGCTGTCGCTGGCATCAGTGGGCAGGGGTCGCTCCTGTAGCCAGCCCAGCAGTGTGGCCAGCACCAGGTGGCTCATGGGCAGCTTGGCCCCCAGGGTCCTCCACAGCAGGAAGGTGTGGCTGTGGACAGAGAGGGCACAGGAGGGCAGTGCTGCCACCCGGGCCTGGCCGGGCTCAGCCACACCAGCAGGCCACCGTTGCCAGGGCCTGCGTGCCTGGAACAGCAAACCTAGGCTGGGTCCTGAGCTGGACCCTAGTGGGGTGGGCCCAGAGCAGATAAGAGCATTGCAGGTCAGTGAGGGAGGGGCCCGAGGCGGCTGGACACGCGCCCCTGGTCCTTGCTTGTGGTCTCATATCCACACTGGCCTCCTCCTGGGTCTCCCCACTTTCAGGGTCTCCCCGCCAGCTGCTCACCCATGCTGGAGGTTTCCTAATGTATCCCCGTCTCCCAATTGCTTGTCACCTTCCTTGGCTCCCAGGTCCTGCAGACCAGAGCCCCAGCCGGCACTCAAAGGCATGGCCCCCAAGCCCTCTGGTCTCTGACCTCCAGCCCCTGCCTGCCCTTCCCTTCCTCTCCTTCCCGTCCTCTGGGGCTCCCGCCTGTTCAGTCCTGGTGTTTAGAGCACTCCTCATCTCAGGCTAACTCCCCTCAGCCCTTAGGGCTCACCACAAAGTCACCTCCCTCTGGAAGCCTTCCGTGACTATGCCCTCCTAGTTCTGGGTTTGCGGGGTCCCAGCTCCTCAGGTCCCAAGCCCAACCTGCTTCAGGTTACAGGTCATCACGAGCATGAGCACAGTGCTTCACAGTTTGTGCAGTGCCCATTCTGCAGACTGGAGAGAGGAGGCCTGCCCTGACAGGGCCCTGCCTCGTAGCTGGGAAACCAGGCCTGTCCAGCTGGTAGCCCTACCATGAATCCATGGGGCATGGCCCGGTGAGGCCTGGAGGGAAGGAAGGGACAGCTGGGTTGCCCTGGGAGGCTGGTGACCTCGATGACCCTGTTTACTCCCCTAAATGATCTTTGGGTCTGAGTGTTGAGTGGAAGGGGTTTGAGGGGGCGGGGAGCCCCTGGCATGAGGAGCTGGGGCTGGGAGGGTGGCCCTGTGTGCCCCCCACCCCTGCTTTAAGACACTCAAGGGCAGCTGCCCTTCAAACCTGGGGAAGCCACGCCAGGCCCCTCTGGCCTTTGGCTGGGTGGGCACAGCGGCTCGGAGGACTCCAGGAGTTGCTACCCAGCTGGAAAGAGCCGGGCCTTTGGAGTCAGAAGGGTCTAGGCTCAGACCCCCACTCTGCCCAATGCTGGCTGTGTGACCCTGGGGGAGTCACTTAGCCCCTCTGAGCCTTGGATTCCCTACTGCAGAGTAGTGGGCAGTGCCAGCCTTACCAGGCTTAAACAGGAGGATTCTCCTGAGTCAGCGTGTGTGCCCAGAGGGCAGCTGTTTCTATTTTGCTCCCTGCGGGCCTGTCTCCCAGTCAGCAGGTGTGAGCCCAGTGCCATCACGTGCAGACAGCGTCCCAGGGGACAAAGCAGTGGTGGAATTGGCAGGAATCTCAACCTCCTGTGCGTGACAACCTTGTGGGGACACAGCAGGAATCGTGGTGTGCCAGATGCTCAGTGCTGCTCCAGAGAAAAAAGCAGCATGGGGGCAGGGGGGCGAGTCTGAGTGCCTTCAGTTTCAGATAGGGCAGTCAGGGACACGTCCCCTGAGAAGGGGACACTTGAGCAAAGCCCTGAGGATATTGGGAGGGAGTCGGGCAGCAATGCAGGGGGAGGGGACAGAAGCTTCCAGCCAGCCAGCCAGGGGGGCAGAAAGAAAGGCCAGTGTCACTGGGGTGGAGTGGAAAGGGGAGGGAGGAGGAGGAGAGGAAGGTAGTGAGGTCACTGGGGCCACAGCACGAACTTGCTGGCTGTTGCGGAGGCTTTGCCACTGGGTTTGAGTGAGATGGGACCACTGGAGGATTTTACAGAGACGTGGCATGACCTGCGTGTGTTCTTTGAGGATGGGGGGGTGGTGACTGGAAGCGGGCAGGCCACTGGAGGTGAGAGCCGGTAGTGTCCTGGACCAAGGTGATGGCAGCGGGGCAGGACACAGGCAGAGGTGGAGCTGGCAGGGTTTCCCAGGGGGTGGGACGTGGGTGTGGAGAAGAGTCCGGACGGCACCAGGAATTCCAGCCTGAGCCACTGGGAGAACGGAGTCACCAGGTGGGACCTGGGAAAGCCTGCAGGAGGGGCGGGTTGGGGGAGGCCAGGGGTGGGGCCCGGCTGGGTCAGTGGGAGACACCTGTGTGACACCCAAGCCCTGCTGTCAGGGGGCCGGGGAGGGGCCTGGGCCAGAGGGGTCAGTGTTTAGGGGATATATGAAGCCATGGGATGGATGTGGCTGCCGTGGAGGTGAGTGTAGCTAAGGAGGAGGATCAAGGGTCAGCCCTGTGGCCAGGGCTACGAAATCAGGGAGATGAGCCGGTAGAGGAGGCTGAGCGGGAGTGGCCGGGGAGGGAGGAGGAGAGCTGGGGAGGGCATTGTTCCCAGGAGGAGAGAGTCACTGGCTGAGTCAAATTCTGCTGACGGGCCACATAAGGTAGGGACAGAGAATGGACCACTGGACTTAGTGACGTGAAGTTACTGCTGACCTTGACGACAACCATTCTATCGGAGCAGCAGTGGACAAAGTCTGGTTCATGTGGATTTAAGAAGGAATGAGAGCTACAACTCACAACCCAAAGACAACCCAATTCAAAAGCGGAGAAGGGGCTTGAATAGACACTTCTCCAAAAACAATATACAAACGGCCAATAAGCACACGAGGAGATGCTCAGTGTCATTCATCCTAAAACCACAATATGTCACTTCACACCTACTAGGGTGGCTACAGCCCCAAGATGAAAAACACTAAGTGTGGCGACTGTGTGGAGAGACAGAACCCCTGGAAGCTTGCTGGTGAAGGTAGAAAGTGGTGTAGTTGCTGTGGGAAACGGTATGGCCATTCCTCGGAAAGCTGAACAGGACTGCCACGTGGCCGAGGGACTTCACTGCTAGGGGCACACCCGAAGTCACTGAGAGAAGGGACTCGGACATGCTTGGATGCCAATGTTGACAGCACCGTTATTCATGGCGGCCCAAAGGCAGAGGAAACCCAGGTGTCCATGTCATCGACCCGCGCAGTGGATTACTAGTTAGCAATGAAAAGAAATGAAGGGCCAACACGTGCCACATACAGCATGGACAGACCTGGAAAATGTCAGGCAGAGAGGGAAACAGTCCAGACCTGAGAGGACAAACATGCCATTCCACTGACATGAAATGTCTAGAATAGCCACACATAAGGCAGAAAATAGATTAGAGGTTACCAGGGGCTTTGGGGAGGGGGAGATGGGGAATTATTATTTAATAGTTACAGAGTTTATTTTTGGAGTGATAAAAATGTTTTCGAATTAGGCAGTGGTGGTAGCTGTGCAACAATTGCAAATATAATTAATGCCTGAATCATACACTTAAAAATGAGTAGCATAGTTTATATAATACATATTTAATACAATTAAAAAATAACATGCCAAACCCATTGAATTGTACACTTTAAATGGCCAAATTGCATAGTATGTGAGTTATATCTCAATAGATCTGTTTTTTGAAAAAATGAATGAGAAGACTTCCTCTTCCAGTAGTGGGGCACTAAGCTACTTGAATCAACTCCATTGAGAACAGCTCCAAAGGATGGAGAAAAACATAAATAATTAGTCTGGGCGTGGTGGGCTAACACCTTGTAATCCCAGCACTTTGGAAGGATGAGGTGGGCAGATCACTTGAGGTCAGGAGTTTGAGACCAGCCTGGCCAATGTGGTGAAACCCCATGTCTACCAAAAATACAAAAATCAGGTGTGTGGCATATGCCTATAAATCCAGCTACTTGGGAGGCTGAGGCATGAGAATTGCTTCAATCTGGGAGGCAGAGACTGCAGTGAGTCAACATTGTGCCACAGCACTCTAGCCTGGGTGATGAAGTGAGACCCTGTTTCAAAAAAAAAAAAGAAAGAAAATATAAACAAGGGTCCTGGGAGTATTAAAGAGATGACAAGACTGTAGTCAACGTGGGGAATATGATGACCCTCGGGTTGGGAGCAGGAAAGCTGATGCTTTGGGGGCATCTGACAATTCTAGACAATTAGATCCTTAGTTTTGACAGCTTTGTGGGATAAAAGAACAGAGACTGAAGCTAAGAGATGGCACAACGTGGTTAATCTCATAGGAGACCCTCTGCCACTTCCAGGCTGGTGCTTAAGTGGGTGTGAAAAAACCCAAGCAGATTTCAGCCAGGTTTGAATTGTGTGGGGGGCATTCAGGGAATCTCAAGCACTGGATTTGTCTTAAGGTAAGCATGGGCTGCAGTATCCTTAGGTGATTGGCAGAGACAAAGACACATTGTCTTAGTTGGAAGAAAATATCTTAATTGTGGGCCTCAAATTATTCCTACATTTTTTTCTTTCAAAAACAACATTTAGTATGTAGTCAAAGATAATCCAACACATGAGGAAGACAGACTCCATCGGTGACATACAGCAAGAATAACAAAGTAGACCCGAAAACTTAGAATTATCAGGCATGAACTATAAAACAAATATTATGAATAAAGAAATAAAAGACAAGCTTAAAAATGTCTCCAGGGACTAGGAACCTATAAGTGATAGAGCTGGTGAGACAAAGAACCAAAATGGCTTTTAGAAATAAAAAAAAATCCAAATCTGAAATTTAAAAAAATGCAGTGAAAAACTTTAACATCAGAATGACATGGTTAAAGGAGAATCAGTGAACTAGAAGATAACTCAAAATAAATTATACAGAATTCAGCAATGAGGGACACAAATATGGGGAAGCAGAAGGGAAGTAAGAAATTGTGCTGCGTGTCTTCTCCTTACTCCTGCAGATCTAATCTCTGCTGTTCCCCGTCCTGCCTCATGCCCCAGGAAGCTGACCTGTATAGATTGCATCAAGAGACTCTCTTGATCTTTGGCTTCCAGTTGACTTGGCTAATGGTAAGCACTAGCGGGAAGTCAGAAGGTGGGTGTGGAGGAAGTGAGGGCATTTATACTCCAGTCTCTCCCCATGAGTGGCCCCAGGATTGCTCTG